CACTGAGTTGGCACATCCCGCTAGAGCAGATTGCTTCCAGCAAGTCCATCCTGAATGACCCAGACAAGAAAGTCAGAGATAGTCAGACAGTCTGGACCAGTCTAGGCCATAGATATCTCAGTCCTACCAGCCAAGCTACTCTGTCAACTAGGTGAAGGGGAGACAGAGCACATAGCAATACTGGAGAATGGAGCCCTGGCCTTTACCCAGCCTCTGAACTGCTAACAAAACTGACTCTGGTCATTTTCCCCTCATTTCCTTTTCCCAGACCCCTCTTTCTGATTGCTGTTTTTCTATGAATTATAAGAGACTAGTGGCCATAAACCACCATGACAAAAGCCACTACTTTATTGCCAGTAATAATCAAGCATTGATCCTACCCTCCATAAGTCAAATATATGTATATGAAGAGAAAGGAGGAGGAGGAGGAGTAATAATAATAATAAGAAGAAGAAGAACAAGAACAAGAAGAACAAGAACAAGAAGAAGAACAAGAAGAAGAAATCAGAACAGCTCTTAGCAAGTCTGTCTTTCCCTGAGTCTGTATCATGCCGCTATCCTGCAACCCCCCCTCCACCCCCGATCAGTTCATCTTTGAACCTCAGAAAGGATTATCCTGGCCTACTCGACTCCTGACTTCAATATCTCTTTCTAATCTCAGGGGAATCTTCTCACTGCTACATTAGAAAAAAATCCCATCCCAGGCAATGACGCAAATGAAAGCCTTCTCAGCAGCTGTAGGTGCGACACAGAGCCCAATGACATGGCTGTCCAACTTGCTTCTAATCCTAGGCTCTAACCATGGGACCCCTACTACCTCAATTCATGCTCTCTTTCTGAGACCAAACTCCCCAGTCCCTATTCCAGGTACTGGACTCCCATCTTCATCCTCTTGTCTGGGTCTCTTAGAAATTTCAGCAGCCTTAAATCACACTAAATAGCATTTGATTTCATCATCTTCCATTTTCCATCACCCAACTTAAAGATGCTACATCATAAAACAGAGTTCTGAAATGACAGAAACATGTCATAGATATGGATGGTTTTAAAAGTCCTTCTGCCTTTCCTTTTGTTAAGGAATATGTATGGCCAGTGTCTTTGCTTTGCTGAGGCCCAGACTAGAGCCCAGCCTCACCAGATCCTACCCTGTCATCTGTAGTCTTATTTTTAAATGCCAGAAACAAGACCAAGCATTGTGGCAATGACAGTATGTGTCCCTTGTGACCCAAACACCTGGCCACTCCTTAAGTCTGTTTCCCTTTTTGGTTCATGGTTGTGAGAATGTGGCCCTCAAAAAGGATCCCATTGCTCACCCGTAAGTGTGAGCAGCAGCAATGTCAGTCGTCCCTTACAAAACATGTGCAGGACTTACTACATGTGCCTTTCAGGTCAAATTTTAAAGAAACGGGGCATGTTTTCTGTGTTCTCTTCCCCCACTGGATGACTGTGATGGTGGGTGAAGATGATGATGAGGCTTAGGGAATAGGAAGCCATATCGAAAGTGTCTTTGGTATCTAAGTCATCATGTGTATGAAACCTCCTGGTGAACAGGAACTCACCTTTCTCTAGGCTGTGAATGAAACTGGAGTGTCTATTGTGCCAGGACATTTGATGGGGTGTAATGCTACCCTTACATTGTCCAAAGTGTTCTGTTACCTGCTCAGACACTCCTCTTTGCTCTACTCCACAGCAATGGTGTCGCAGATGGTGTATAAGCCATATCATCTTTGAAAGCAAAGTAAATTTGCACCCAAAGAGTGTTTACCCTTGGGTAAATGACTTACGGATGCAGTTTACTTTAATATATACTATCAGCACAATGGTACTAAACAAGGTAAAGTATATAAAGATCAATCAAAGTGCCCACATGATAGACTCTGAATTCGGAGAATCTTTCTTCCTGTGCTATTTCCAGACTCATTCACAATATTGCCCCAGCCCCAGCATCCAATACTCAGCAGGTAGCTTCTTCAGCCCTATAGTTTTTTTTTCATGAATTTGTAATTTTGAACTCCTTTTATTATTATTATTATTATTATTATTTACTTTTAAGTTTAAATTTAGATTAGAAACAAGGTTGCTTCACAAGTCAGTTCCAGGTCCCTCTCCCTTTCCCTCCCCTCCTCCCGTGCCCTCCCCCCAACCCCCCCATTATCCCCTCATTTCCCCAGAGAGGGTGAGGTCCTCCATGGGGGTGTCCATAGTCTGTCATTTCATCCAGGGCAGGGCCTAGACCCTTCCCCAAGAGTTCAGGGTGAGAATGCATCTCACATTGTTGGATGGGAGTCCAAAGTCCGTGTGTATACTCTCTCATATATGGATTTTAGACATAGATCTGGGGAGTGCCAGCCTACAATCCCATGGCCAGAGAGTCTGGGAAACAGAAACTTCATTCAGTGGCTGATCGAAGAAGAGGCAGACTCCCATGGCTAAGCACTGAGCTGAACTCAAGAAAGCCAGTAACAGAGAGGGAGGACTGATGACCAAAGGGATTAAGACTGGGCTGGTTTAACCCCCAGAAACAGCTGACCTGACAAAGGTTAACTCTTGAATTCCAAGCATCAGCCTGGGAATCCAGCATAGGACCGATCAAGACCCCCTGATGTGGGTGTCAGTGAGGAGGCTTAGGTAATCTATTGAGCCTTGGGCAGCAGATCAGTACTCAGCCCTATAGTTTTTACAGCACTCAGTTGCAGCAAACTTGACCCCCACATAGAGCATAGCCATTAGTGTGTGGCGATATACACTATCTTCTTTCCATAGTCTCCTTCAGCTGGTTTCCAATGGGAGTGCTGGCATCCTCCCACTAACAACTGCCCCAGTCACTATAGATATTATTTCCCAATGAGGGCCGCGGTCTAGGCACCCCCTCTTGATCCCAGAACCTTCTGGGTTGTCTTTGTTGTGGTGCTACATAATTAACAACAACAAAAAGAACATACAATGGCCTCTAGGTCTATATTTCAGCTTTATATGGAAGAATGTCCCTTCCTAGAGCATCTCACCCCAACTCTAGGGACAGAGGTTGCTAGGTATATCCAATAGTATATTGCTATATTTGAGTTTTTGCCTTTAAAAATACTTGTGTTTTCTGTATCCTGTGATAGATAGGAAATTGGCTCTGGAGGAAATCCCAAGAGACAGAGTTTGGAGATTCCTATGGTCATGTTTAGGGGCTTTAGTTGTATTGATCACCTTTCCAAGGAACATGTGATGCTAGCAAGCCATTTGCAGTCAAGGTAACATCTACACATGGTTGGGCTATAGGGCCAACTGAAACAAATCAGAAGCCTAGATGGCTGCTGTTCTTGGCTATAGAGATAGTAAGGATAGACTGTGAGGGCTGTAGTATGGGATCACGCTCAGTATGCATGAAGACCTACAGAAAGCAAACGAGATCAGATTCTTCAAGTCCTAGCTAAAACCACAATGGAGAATCAAAAGCCTTCATGATAACATCATTGTAGCCATAGATCTAATAGTACTGAAAGTCAGATGTACAGTTTCATTGCTCAGGTTTCATTGTAGCATGCATTGAGTGTGCTGAGTATTTCATATGAAGGTCCAGTTTTTTCTGTATCTTTGCTCACTTCCCACCACCTACAGCATGAACTACCAACAGATAACTTGCTAGGTCTTGGTTAAAAATATGATGTTGGTTGCCTTTGTCTCAGAATCCCATGCTTCACCTGGTAATGATTCTGAAATAAATGATAGCAGAGTTACTTCTTACCTATATACAGTTATGTAATTAAATATGGTGAACAACTATATACTTCTTGTCCCGATTCAGAAACCATTCATAGACACAGTGGTTCTGTGCACAGATGTCACAGACATAGCGCTATGCGCAGATGTTCTTCTTGAAGAGGTGGCAGGTCCTTCCATGGATCTCTCAGGGGCCAACACTGTATCTCCATCTCTCAAGGCATACCCGCTCTCAAGGGTCACTGTATCTCTTCCTTCCAATGGGGACTGTTCCCTTTTCTGATCTCTAAAATATAACCAGCTCCTGGGTTGATTTCAAGATCAATGAATATAAAGAGTAGCCATGAGGCAAAAAAGTCTATACTTAGCAGATTCATGAAAAGACGGTTATGGTTTAAATTCACAAAGACACATTTTAGAAGAGGCCAGCTTGAAACTATCCAGGTGCAGGGCCACTCCTACCCCAGCCAGTTGTAAAAGCATCATCTGCTGGGTCCCCGTCCTTTCATTCTGCCCAGTGAGGGAAGAAGGAAAGTTCAACCTTTGGAATTCTGGGAGTTCTTGTCCATGATAAACTCAATCTATGCTAATCTCTTCCTTTTGACTTTGGGGTGGCTGGGAGCAGTAGTATCTGGTTTGGCTTCCTCTGATACTATGTTCTGTAAAGAGAAAGAGGGCACTACACCGTACAAGGGAAATCTCACTCTTTAGAGAATTCCAGGAGTTTTCAACTCAGTGCAGGGACATTGAGAGAGTAACCTTATGGAGATTTGAGGGAGGCACATGAAGAATGGGGGGAAAATCCACCAAAGGAGCTGACATTAATAAGGGGGGTAATTTACCTTTAGAGCTGTGTGGCTTGACTGTGAGGCATGTGACCTGGGGTGTGGGACACTGAGGAATGACAGCCTGATGAGGTGGCCTGACAGAGAGAAGCTGAGTGATGGCAGCAGTGCGGGGTAGAGGCTGCTAGCAAAAACACAATCACACTGGAGCTGCACTTTATCACCTAGACCATCTGCTGGACGGTTTAGAAAGCAGAGGACCATTTGCTAAGTGACAAGCTGATGTCACTTTATTCGAATGTTTTAACAAAGGAAGAACTCCGCTAAGCAGCACACAATAACAACAGACTATTTTGTCACTTTACATCAAGCAATTTGTGTGATGTTTTGAGTCCCTTACGTATTAGCTTTGCATTATGTTTATACTTTGATAGCATCTGTAGAACAGGAAATGTGTCCCTAAATGTTGGATGTCATTTTGAGGAAATTGTTTTTCATTAAACCTACTGTAGACTGTTTTGTCTGGATTTGTTTTAGTTGCCACGGGGATTCTTCATAAGGTCTTTCCATCTCTCCTCCTCTCACCCTCTCATTCACGTTAACACAGACACCTGATGCATATAGGTCGTCTCATGATTCTGGCCATGACTTGGTCATCACGCTGAAGCTGGACTGCCTGGAGCTCAGACACACGGTCCTCACATCTGAAAGCAGAAGTCAAGGGATTAGCAATCCCACAGGCATGCCTTTATCATTGTGTTAGAGAAGTATATGCATACATACAGCCAAACAGGGTGGTGCTTTATGAGAGACTGGCTGTTTCTTAGTGCTCTGACTGATATTACTGTTAGCTACACACAATAACATGCACACAAACAAATGATAATTCCTTATGCATGGTGATTTGGCTACACTTCCTCTACAGGTCATCAATGTCTTTGTCTCTGAGACATCTACATGTGACTTGTAACTCCAGATTTACAAGTGATTTGAGGATAAAACTGGTATTTTTTAAATTGTGTGAGTGTGTGAGTGTATGTATGGTGTGTGCGTGCATGCACATGTCACAGTGCAGGTGTTGATGTCAAAGGACAACCTGAAGGCATTAGTTCTCTTCTTCCACCAGGAACCCACCTCATGGTTGTCGGGTGTGGCAACAAGCACCTTTATCTGCTGATCCCTAAACCAATGTTTTTTAACCAAATGCTCACACTTGACTTCTCCTTCACCCCCCTTTGTTTCTAAAAATGTGGATTTAAAGTTACTGGTACAATTGTTAGCTCATGGATATTAATATAACAGACAGGCTGCTGCAGAAAGCTGTTCACACTTTGGGCTGCATTCTTGGCTATGGGGGACCTTGACCTTTGTGCTGACCTTTAAAGAGTTTAGTTCCGAGCCACACTGGACCCAAATGCCACAGCCACAGCACCATCGTGACACGTGAAGATGTCAGGATGAGCCTAGAAAGAAATCCTATGACGAGGAGAATCACCCGTTACAGACACAGGATACTCAAAGTCAACCCCCAGAGAGTACAGATCCCTCAAACTGAGAATCCCCATAAAGGTCATCAACTTCAAGACACTCTGTCCTGAACTGCTGGAAGGACAGTTCCTGGGACACATTGGTTAGCACTCCAGATCCTCGGCATAAGTGACCTACTGGCATAAACATTTCCGGCAGATTATGAAAAGCCTGCTTTTTCACAACAGCCCTTCTCCAACTTAACCAACACCTTATACATTTTTGCCTTAAGCCTTCTACAACCTAGTCAAGCCAGGACCACAACAGGCCGTGAGCAGATGTGCTAGCATTTCCCATGTTCTACCAACTGTTCATGAGACTGTGAGTCCTTTGAGTTCAAGGCTGTGTCTTCCTTGTGTTCAGACAGTACTATAGTATCTGCTGTATAGCAGATACTCTGGAAGTGTTTGTACAAGCTAATGTCAATATTCTGTGCAAGAATTACATACCTGGGCAATGTGACTAGTAATTATGCTGAAAGCTTTGAATTTTTGTGGCAACAAAACATTATCACGTCAATTTCAATTCAGCAACTGTTTGTTACTTTGAAATGAACCATCTTGGGTTCTGGGTTAAAATGTGACTAATTTCTTCTCTGGTCCTAAAGGCTACCCTCATGTGAAGAGTACATCATTGGGTCACACCAAATCCAAGAACCAATTTGCATTAAGCAATGGGACATGGAAACAGCAAGTGTGGTGAGAAAAGAAGAGGGGCAGCACCAAGCTTCTGAGGCTATGCAAACCCAATCCAAGCTGCCAGATTCCAGAATCTGTTTGGCACTAAAAGGAGGTCTGTTTGGTTCTTCCAAGGGCTGGACAACCCTGCCTGGAGTACGGTGTTTAGATATGGGGCATGTTGGAGGAGGGAGGTTTCCTAGTCTCTCTGCTCATGAAAATCTCATTACATAAGTGACATCCTGGATAGTGGGGAGCAATGAACAGTTGACGGTAAGAAGAAATGCTCTTCCCTAGTCCCCGCAATCGCTGTCCCTGACAGTACGAATTGCAGGGCTGTCATCTGCCAGACTAAATCTCCATGAATCACAGATGATTTTAATGAGGTTCTCTGCGAAAGCTCCCCGTGCAGTTTGCCAAGATATAATCCTCACCCTGATGATAGCAATTAGTAATAAATGTTCTCTCTCGTTCCTTTAAAAAATTGTGTTTGAAACTGATGTGAGTTTTATACATAGCTATCTTCTGCTTCAGAAGGAGAGAAAGAAGGAAGGAGAGACAGACAGTCAGACAGACAGACAGACAGACAGGCAGGCAGGCAGGCAGACAGACGTACGTGAGAGTGATCTGTATGTTCATCTCAAGTTCCCACTGACTCCTTCTGAGAGTTTCTTCCAGCCAAAGTTGCCTCGATGGCATGGTGAATGGAGACACTTCCTGTTTCTCCTCTCTTAACAGAGATGGTCAGAGATAGACCTGAAGTCATTAGAATTAAACTAGCAAGTCTGGTTCCCCCACAGGCTCTGCTCTCCCACAGACTCCCCTTAACCTTAGTTACGAGCACTGCTAAACTTCCTGCCAGCCAGGACTGACATGGTATGCCTAAGAGGTCTCCCTAGTACTCTGTCCCATAGAGGTGACTGACTGGAATCCTGGACAGCCAGTGCACCCCACAAGCAGCCCTTGACTGGAAATAGGGAATGGTATATAAATATCCCAACTTGCCCCTTATGTGGGATAGCTGATTATAACCTACTGGACTCCGTAGGTAGTAAGTGGGTTGGTGATAAGCCAACATTGGTCACCTTTTTCCACTTCCCCAACAAATTGCTTGTGCTAAGATCCCAAGTCAGGATATAATTCTGGGGCCCCAATCTGATATAGATTCTAACAAAAAGCAACAACAACAACAACAATAAAATGCCTCCATGTTCAAGATCGTTGAACTTCAAGATACCTGCTATACCAGAAGACGGAGATCAAAAAAATCCAAAAAACAGGCTGGAGAGATGGCTCAGCGGTTAAGAGCACTGACTGCTCTTCCAGAGGTCCTGAGTTCAATTCCCAGCAACCACATGGTGGCTCACAACCACTTTGAATGAGATCTGGTACCCTCTGCTGGCCTGCAGACAAAAGGCTATATGCACAATAAATAAATAAAATAAAAAATCCAAAACACACACACACACAAAAATTTGTGCCATAGTTCCCAGAAAGTATCTGTTTTACACACACATACACACCAAAAACAAACAAGAAAGCAAAACCATGAGGACCAGCACAATCTGACCCCATTTCCTTATCTCTGTTCACTAGGATAATCACTTGGCAACAGTCACTCTGTTACCCATGCTGGTCTTTTGAATAAACATGGCATTATGCCACACCCCTATGCCTTTGCTCTTTCCACTGCCATACCTGAAATTTCCTTTTCCATATGTCAGCATAGTTTTCTCCCATCTCTCTCCAAAGGGCATTGTTCCCATGTCACTCTCTGAGACCTTCCTAAACCACCTATATAAGATCATCACCATTCCAAACCAGACCCAACATGTCCCATCCCCAGGCATTACCTTATCTTTCTCCATAATATTTATCACTATTCGGCAGGCATGACCTATTCCTCGTGGGCTCTAAGAATGTATTCAGCAATGTTATGGCTGACCTTTTAACACTTCCCTCCCAGTTTTCACTACTTTGACATTATTTTTGCTTCAGCTTCTATTCATTAACAAGTAGATTGATACCTGAGATGATACATTGAGGTTTTTCTGAGAGACTTTCAAAGTAAAACCTAAACTCTAGGAGAACTTTCAATTCTAGTAGTCTGGATCAACATCTCATTTCTTTACTAATGTGCAATGTTGAGTGAGTCACTGGCCCTCACTTTCTGCATTAAAATGGAGACAACTGGAATTCACACATCAGGATTTTGTAACGTTTACATGCAAAGTGGGAGACCTACACTTAGCAAGTGGATGTGCAGCAGGTACTCAATTAGGATGGTTTCCCAGGGCCATTTTTGCAAAGGTGGCTTTGGCCCTGCAAGGTATAACGTCTCTTGGAGATTATCATGAGACTCATCAAAAAGCTAAAATCTCTCCCCAAATCTTACCCTGAACTAGTACATCCGGGCATTCATTTACTTTTTAAAACATTATCAGTTCGCTTAGGATGAATAGAATGATACAAACGATAGAATAATTTTAAAATGTTCAAAAGCTTTATCTTGGATTCCTTTCTTGGGCTCTGATCTTCTAGGCCTACATTTTGCAGTGATACCTGCCTTCTGCCAGGCTTGCTTGGATGCTTGTGGGAATAGGACAATGAGTCACTAAGTCTCATTCCTGTGAAAGGGAAGTCTGGCTTGTTCCTTGCCTGAGTTCAAGGTCCACCAGCTCAACCACACTCTTGATAATAGCATCTACTCTCACAACCAGAACTCCAGCATGGGTCTCAGATGTGAAATGGGTTACCCATCCAACTTCTTCCCATTACCTAAATATTATATTGGTGGCTTTGGGCAAAAGAGACTTTGTTCATATGGCTCCACATTTTGACTCTTTGGAATCACTGAGTGGTCTAGTAGTAACCATAAGATGGCACTATGCTTTTGGATGAAGTATTTGTAACCCCAAATGAAAAACTTAAAGAAACAAACCATGCCTTCCTGAACCCATTGTCATTGAAAAAAAATGATACAGCTTGTATTTATCCAGCACACTAACTGGCCCTCAATTGAGAAGCAATGATTTGGGTCAAGCTGCTATTTTGTGAAGAAGAGAGTGAGAAGCAGACTTATCAAGCACTAGGAGAGTTAGAAACAAGCCAGGAGCAGCAGTGCATACACGCAGGACTCCTGGGTCCTAGATGGCTTGACCACATGGAAGGGAGGAGAAAGGCCATACAGAGCTACTGTGGTAATGGTGAGAGACTGGACGGAGTCAAGCATTGAAACCAAACAAGTGTCTGAAAGGGGTGTGAGGACTGTGGTAACAGCCTAAAAAGGAGCATGTATAATCAAGTGCATACATAAACTAAGACACCACCAGCAGTGAAGGCCTATGGGTTGCTTAGACGATGGAAGGAAAGGTTAAAAAACCACAGGGACCTGGGTGCAGAGCACAGGAACTAAGTGTTGGTTTCTTCAAGACCTTGTTGGCGTTGACTCCAGGTCTCTTTCACATAGTGTGCTCCTTGAGGTATGTGGGGCTCTGATT